CGGCTGTTGGAGGGGGCTGGGGGCCCCAGTCCCCGAGGCACCGGTCGCCCCCGCGCCGAAGCGTGGCTGTGCGGCTCCCAGGGCGGAGGTTCTGAGGGGTTTTCTTCGCCCGGTGTCTGTAGGAGCTGGAATGCCTTCAGGCACTGGGTGAGTGTGTGTGTGAGCGTGGTGCTGCGTCGTGGCGGACAAGCGAAACAAAGAGGGGATGTAAAACCAAAGCGGATTTTTAAAGTGTCGAGCAAAGCTGCAGCAGTCTGGAGAAAAAGTTTCCGTTCCCTCTTTCTGATCCTTTCTCGGTCCCTTTCTCTTCACCCTGAGGAAGCGGAGGGCTCTTGCTAGTCCCTTCCTCCCTAAAAGCCCCAGAGCTAATTTCAGAGCTGTCAGGAATTGCTTCTCAAATTCTTTGCTCCTTCCCCACTACTCTTTTTTTTTTTTTTTTTTTTTTTTTTCTTGTTTCGTTGCTCTCCGAAACAAAACAAACCTCTTAAAGCACAATAGTAGTTACAAGGGAAGAAGTAACCTCTTATGCTTGTACTCTGGCATTTAGTGTCTGGTTTCTTTCTACCTCACGTGGCCTTTACTCCAAGACCTTTTTTGCTGGAGCAATAACAAAAGAATAGGTGCATTTGACGTACAAATAAGCATAGCGCTGGTAGTGAAAGTAGTCGGACATCTCCCTTTTCTCAGCTCCCTTAACTCTGACAGAGTGATGCTTTTAGCAACCACATTTACTCATTTCTTGGCTTTTCTGTGGAAGCCGAGCAAGACTTCCTGGCTGGGGTCCTGTTACCTCTCCTTTTCTATTTAACTTTTTAATGAAAATGGAGAACACAAATTCAATGTGTCTGTAATGCAGAGTGGATACTCAAAAGAGGAGAGTAAGAGCAAACTGACAATGAATTTGCTATTTGAATCTGATCCTAATGACTTTCTAATCCAAACACTTGATAGATCCATTAGGTATTCACTCATGTTTTGCTATAAAGCTACTGAGTTATTTCAAGCCCCTGTTTCATACTTCCACTTCTTTTCTGGAGCTGATAGGAATTGATGTTCCTGAGTTTGTACCAGAAAAGATTTCCACGCTCTTCTTACTTGGTATATTGACATTATACAAGTGAATCTACTGGTGTTATCTGTAATAAAGGGACTTGAATGCTTTCCTTTTTAGATGTGTGAAGCTGTTTATATTTTGCCAAAGTTGACAGCACTGGCTGTCCTTTTTGTTTTTAAATACATATCTGTGTCTCCAGCTTGGAAGGTCATTGAAAAACTTCATCAGAAAAAGCTCTTCTCTTTTCAAGAGTAAGGTTAGAGGAAGAAAAAGTTACTTAGTTTAAATTAAAGGAAAAATCTTGCCAGTTTTGTCCTATCTTGTAACAGGGAACAGAATGTGTCACGGAGGGTTGACAAATTCTAATACTTCTGTGATTTGTAGCATAGGCTTCAAACTGAGTAGAAGGCCCACCTTACAATCAGAATGTACCTCTTGCTATCTTTGCAAAATTTATAAAGGACTGGCTGCAAAATAGAAACTGGTAAGGGGTTAAAAAGAGATATTGAAGAGAAACATTCAATAATGTGAACCACT